CAGTCTAAACTTTGTTAAAGTTCTTCTGCTGTTCAAATTTTTCATATCTAAGTAACTTTCATAATATGAAATATGTGCTGAGTTTTTCAGTATCTTTAGAATAACTATTTCTAATGTCTAGCTTTGTCTTAAGGAAGTTCTTCTGGAGATATTTCTACAAATACAATTTAGATTTATTTTTACTAAGTTTTTTGCAGGAAGATAGTTTAATATCCAGTTTTAAAACGAGTCTATTAGAATACCATAATATATTTGACTGGTTACTGCTAGATTTATATATTCATAATAATAATTCTTCTCAAATTCCAACAAAACATATGTATAATTGATAATCACATCGACAAACAAGTATCGACAAGTAATAATACATACGTAGAAAGAATGATACACGATAAATCCAGCGCAGAATACACATAGGGTTTACTATTGTAATATAAGATCATGACAATTTTATTAAAAGAAACAATTACGTATAAAAGTATATGTGGATGAATTGTCGATAAGTATGTTTTCTATTTTGCAGTTAGAGTTATCCTTTGTATGTGATAAACGCGCGCAGAAAGCGGGAAATAGATTATGATATACAATTGCAATGTTCTTTTATAAATCAAAATACAATTATAATAAATGCAATGGTTAAACATAAAGGATGAATATCATTTCAATCTATTTATTGTTGTTATTTCAATAAATTCTAAAAAATCACAATTTTCTCTAATAAATTACAGGAAAAAATGGAACATGTCAGCGTTTTGAAATAAGATCAATGATTCAAGTTGATCGTCTATCATGTTTACGAATTAGACATTTTTAACTCTTGAATAATTATTATGGTGATGTTATTAGTCGCTTATTGCAAGTCTATCGAGTGAACAGTTGTCTGAATTCCCAAAACTATTTGTTTAGTTGATGAAAGTTTATCTTGTTCTGTCTGTAAAAATAAGAAAAACATTATTAACAATAAACTGATCATTCATTAAATGCATATTTCATGACTACATGTACTTGCAAGGAAGTGATCGTTCAATGAAAACTATGATTTCTCTCAAAAAGAAGGCCATATGATAAGATAAGATGGAACCAAGAACCCCAAATAATAAAAAAAGAAATTGAACAAAAGTTTGATTTGAATGAAATCACAATGCAAATGAAGCTTTAAAGAATATAATTTGAAAACGTGTTGGACACATTTTTATCTACTTAAACTGAACATGTATGTGAAAATATTTCCAATACTCCAACACGTGTAAACCCTCCACAATGGCATGCATATTTAACGTTGTTTATTCTATTTCAGAAGCGGAATTGTAAGTATCAAAGTAATATACACACTGTTGTCTGCTCTATGGTCGGGTTGTTGTCTCTTTGACACATTCCCCATTTTCATTCTCAATTTTATAATGATTGCTCAAGTACTATTATTAATCACATTTGTACGAATAACATTAATAAGCATTAAAGAGCAGAACAGCAAAGGCGATTGTCACTTATATTTTTGGGGTTTTGGTGGCCGAGTGGTTTAAGAAGTTCATCTACTCTAAAGTTGTGTCAAACACCAATAATCAATAAATCAATCCATCACTGATAATATGTGTTGCTTTTTTGATATGACAGCAAGTCATTGTTGATATTTCTATATTTGCAAAACTTGTAATAAGATTATTTATATATTTGCTTCAGCGTATGGTATGCTTAAGTTTTAACTTTTCTTGATTATCTGTTTTTTTTTTCGAATGTTTTCTTTATCAATTAGCCTTTTACTGTAGTTGTACTTATTTTCGAGTTGTATTTATTTTCACGAATTTCGCGGTTGGTATATTATCGCGAAAATAACAACACGCGAATTTGAATCCAACCTTTCTACATGTTCAACTGAAAACTTACTGTTCATCTATGCATCACAAGTTGACCTTACATCGATGACATGACATGAGTTACAAACCGGTTAATCCGTTACATAAACAAACTAGATTATTATCAAGTACAGGTATCAGGTGACAAGTAGTAACCAATTAAAGATTAAGACATATAATCAAAGTTACTTAATTTCCACAAAGTATGCATGCCACTTACTGACGGCGACTTCTGCTATACCGGTCTAAACCCAACCTCAGTCAGCCGACACGACCATTACGTAGAAGCCTTACGAGGATCAGGCAGAAATGGACGAATAGGAGGCTGGTTCTATTCCTGAATTAACAACGTTGTCACATATTGAATTACATATAAAGAATGACAAATGAATGAATTAGAATTGGAATCATTTCAGTTATATCAGTAAACTACTAAATTTAACCCGATGGCTATTTACGCATTTACTGTAAATTTTGATACAGTATACTCGACGGCTATATTGATACCAGCGAAATTGTTTGTAACACAGTTCGCGAAAATAATTACCCGCGAACTGTGTTACAAGTACAGTATTATAAAGTATGTTTTATTTATAACAATCCTGCATCTTTTCCATATATTTAATCGGTTTGTCACTTGTCGTGAATTAACCAGTAGTATTCAAAAGGAAACGTAAAACGAAAATCCAGAATCATGAAAAGGAAAAAAAAAATGCAAAATGTCCATTCAACATACAAATTCGATTGTTATTCTTTTGATCCTGAAAATATTTCTGATACATCCCTCGTGACTAATAAATCCAAAAAGAAACAATTATTTTAATACGTTGTCATCTATAATCTTAATTCTTATCAGATGTACTATTTTAATGATAATAAAATTGAGAATGTAAATGGGGAATGTGTCAAAGAGACAAAAACCCGAACAAAAAATAGAAAACAGCCGAAGGCCACCAATGGGTCTTCAACATACCGAGAAAATACCACACCCGAAGGCGGGCTTCAGCTGGTCCCTAAACAAAACGTTGTACTAGTTCAGAGAAAATGGAAGTCATACTAAGCTATAAAAAGTATAAATTAACTAAGGTTAAAAAAAAACATACAACACTAACAAAGGCAAGAGGCTCTTGACTTGGGACAGGTGCAAAAATGCGGTGGGGTTAAACATGTTTTGTGAGATCTCAACCCTCCCCATATACCTCTAGCCAAATGTAGAATAAAAACAAACACACATCACAGTAAAAACTCAGTTTAAAAGAAGTCCGAGTCCAATGTCAGAATAGGTAACAAAAGAAACTAAGCAAACTGACAATGATACATATATTAACAAAGGACTATTAGCAGTTACTAATATGTCAGCTCCAGAACTCAACTAAACTGCTTGAAAGATTATGTCTTCATCATATGAAAATCACGCACAATACCTCCCGTAAGAGGTTTAGCGTCATACTATCATAAAATACACAAGAAACACACAACCCGTATCATGCCAACAACTGGTTTTCGAATAAATGTGTTTATTTCCGATGCAAAGACCCTATGAGTGAAACAATATTAATACTAAAATATGCCATCTTTAATGACGTGGCAACAATATCACAACTATATCCCTTATGGATAAGTCTGTTTAAAGGTTTGGTTAGCTTTTGAGGTGAATGTCGACATTTTTGTGCTTTGTAAAGAAAATTATCATAAAAGATTGGATGTGAAATACCTGAACGTATAAGATGTCTGCATGGTGATTGATATTTACGAATGATGTCCTTGTACCGATGACAAAATTTAGTAAATGTTTTGACTAGTTTGTGATATCGAAAACCCTGGTGTAATACTTTTTCAGTAATACAGAGATTTCTTTCGTCATAATCAAATACGTTCAACTTGTTACATACACGAGTGAATCGAACAAGTTGAGATATATATACACCCAACCAGACCAAAGAGAAGATAAGAGCCGAAGGCCACCAATGGGTCTTCAACGCAGCGAGAAAATCCCGCACCAGGAAGTCGTAATTATTGAGAGCCAATATATCATCCAAATATCGAAAAGTGGTATTAAATTTTTTAATCAGATGTTGTTTCGATGGGTCTTTGCTGATTTCAATCATAAATTGTAACTCATAACAGTACATAAACGGGTCCGCAATAAGTAGTGCACAGTAAGTCCCCATTGGAATTCCAATAACTTGACGATATACGGAATCTCAATAACGAACAAAAATGCTATCTAGTTAAAATTCAAGGGCAGTTATAGTAAAGAAGCAGGTCCAACTGACATAGTTCTTTTGTTTGTTGTTACTAAAAAATGATCTTAAAGAATTTGAACATATATATTCGCATTCTGACTGTTTAAAAGCCCATTAAAGTACGGAGTGAGTCGTGTATGATGTTACGACACTCTTTTTAATAAGTTGATTTAATAGACAACTTACAGTCGACTTAAAGAACATATAAGATTGAGGTACATGAACTATGATTTTATCAAAATGGTCAGTAATTTTAAATTCATGTTGCACGGAGGAGAGGACCATTTTCATAACACCAACGTTAACATTGCAAGCACACATCCGTTGACATCAAATAAAGAACGGCTATCTGTGAAACATATTCCGCAATTGTTAACATAATCATAATAGGTTTTGTAGTCTATAAATGATGAGTTTAAAATTACTATTTAGAACAGTTCAGGTACTCCCTGCAAATAGCAACGCCTTATCAAGGTAGGAAACAACATCAGCTGCTGTAAATTATTGATTAAACTGTTGGAAATGTACTCTTTCGAAAAGGAATTCCTCCTGGAGTGACTACAATTAAGGTGAAATCGTACATGCTTTTAAAACCCAACTATTGTATATTAGAGTAGTTGAAATATCACAAAGTAAAATCACAAAAATACTGAACTCCGAGGAAAATTCAAAACGGAAAGTCCTTAATCAAATGGCAAAATCAAAAGATCAGACACATCAAACGAACACACACTGGTTATGTGTCTATTTTAGGAATTGTAAAACTAAGTATTTGTTTTTGATAATAAAATTGTTTGTCGCATATATTTTGTCCATATATAATTTGATATTTCATAACATTTTATGCAAAGAACTGTTTTGAAATTGCTGGACTATTTAAATATTCGTTTGTTTTAGAGTCATCATGCAGGGCTCATGTTTGTTTATTTTGGAAAATTACAGATGGTAACCTAACGTTAATCTGCAAAACTGATAGCTTATACTATTCAGTTTCTTTTAATCGTACGGTGGAGAGAGAAAATGCTTTTTGTGCTTCGACAGCATGTCATTCTACGTTACATGAATCAAATATTACTCAAAACAAAACAACACAAGAGACAGTTCTTACAATACAGATGGCTAAAAAATTAAATGGATGGTAGTCATGCAAATACGGAGAAACAAATGGGAAAGCAGATATCGAAATAACCCTTGTTGAAACATTATTTCCCAATATCAACAATACCAACAAATACATCCCAGGTAAGTAAATATATCATCTTGCAAAATAAAATGATCATAGAAACCATGATTGAAATTTTGTACGTAGTCGTCCACATTTAATAATATCGTGGTAACGTTTGGTTGGTTAATGTACTTTGGCGGAGTTTGATATTTTCTTCAATGTATTTGATTGTCTTTTGCATTTGATAATTTTGTTATAGGCGAGTGACCTTTTTCAAAAAGATGCTTAGTTAACGACTTTAATGCACCCACCTAACATACTGCTATATTATATATCATTCGAAAGCTTTTTATCAGAACTGTCTGTTTGGATCGGTCTTCAATAATTCGTACGGTGCAATTTGTGTTAAACCAAGGTCAAAGATTAAGAATGAACATTCCTAAAATGCCCTTTGCTGGTTTTTTAATATTTTTTTTTCTAAAATTCTTATGAATATAATAGAACAGAATACCATGGTTCCAAATGAAATGCACCTTAAAATATTAATGCGCAATATTTACAACAAAATATACACTTCAAAAATGATAAATGTAGGAAACATCTTGTCCCTACGCCCTTTTAATTTTGTTCTTTCCATTCATATAATATATTTATTCGTCTAAAAAACTTTGTAATGAGCAACAATCCTGCTACATAGCATATCGATGGTGCGAACTCACATCGAAAGGATTACATGATTAGACTGATTAATATTATTGATAAACTTAGTCATTTACTGTGTTGTTTGAATATGATCTATGGCTGAACATAGGTTTGTTAAGCATGTTAAGGGCTTACGATACAGTTTTGATCCTTAGGTGATTTTTTGACGAAAATTTTAATACAATCTATTTTTACCTATGCAATTCAAATATATATATAATATATATATATATATATGTATATACCTTCATTTACTACTTTGAGAAATAAATGGGGTCGAAATTTTAGACATTGAATCAAGTTTTCTGTTTCTTGGATATGGGATTCCTAATCTATGACAGGTTCGTGATAATATAAAACTATTTTTTCAGCATATCTTTTCTTATGTTTAACGGTGAATCTTTGTAATACTGCAGTTATTTACCTATCTAGTGAGAATCATTTCAAAATATATTTCAAGTGAAAAATAACTTGGTACAGTTTCCACAATGTTCAAAGAAGTAAACTATTATCAACACTCCATTATTTCTGTGTATCTTTTTTTCTTTTTTTAATTGTTCATATTATATTTAAATCCGTACATTTGTTAGTTGGAAAACATCAAGTACCGGTACTTTATCCCGGCCTCGTTGATATTAGTAAATAACATATTTATACAACTGCTAGTATTTGTTAGTAATCTACATTCAATTTTCTATACTTAGAAAAATATATACCATTTCAGTAATATCAAAAATGAACCTAACCATTAAGATTATCAAACAAATAATTATCTTATGTAACAAATGCACAGGTTATGGAAAAAAAATATAGTTTGTGTTGTTTAAATTGTAAAATATAAAGATATATGTTTTAAGTATGTCTGTTGATTTTTTAGTAATCAAATAATGATAAAAAAAAAAACAGAAACAAGAAAAAAAAAAAAAAAAAAAAAAAAATAATTGAAAGAAAAAATAATCAGACGAATTTCAAAGAAATTAAAAGTTGTTTTGTTTGTTTGGTTATTTATTTGCACCGATGAATTATATAGTATTATATGACATTGTTTTAAATATATTTAATATATAAAGTTAAATTTTTCAAATTTTTCTCCAATTTACATCTAATAATTGTCAGAAATATTTTTTGCCACAAGAGTTAATGCCCAGACCTAAATTGTCTGAGTCGAAAGTTGATGTCATCGTACATTCCAAACTTTATCTGTGCATCACTTTCTGTTCTACCGTACACACCACAATTAAAATACCAAACCTGTTCAAAATGATTGCTCTTCTCTAGCCAATGAATTAGCTCCATATTTCTTTGTAAAGAAGCGAATAATAAGTGGACTTGGCTCGTGTACAGCTGGTAACCTGTGTATTGCTACAACATCCCTTTCTTCTAAACTAACGTCTAGATCTTGTTTAACCATTTCAATGAAATCCTTGCAAAGGTTTTGTTTGTCTTTCCTTGGGAAGTTAAACACTTTGATATTGTTTTTCTAGAATATTGTTCATTATAATTGCTGCTCAAATTGGCAGTATTTGCTGTTTCTGCTAGGTTGGTCTTAATAGGAGATATATGAGAGGACACAGCATCAAGTCTCTTTTTCATGTGTTAATTTTCAATAGATAGTGCTTCCACTTTCCATTCCATCTCTTTTTCAATTTTAGAAACTTTATCGATCATTTTTTTTTCAGTGATGACTCAAACTTACTAAACAATTTCTTCACAATGCCAGTAACAAGATTTTCTAAGTCTGAAGTCTTGACAAGGTCTTTTGTAATGTCAATCAAATCATCTTTTGTGGTAACATCCCTCAAGCTAAATTTTATTTCACCAAGGTCCTTTTGAAAGTTAATAAGACCTGATAGACCAAGACTAGTTTTTGAGTCATTAGAAACTTCAGAGTGAGTTCTTTTTGCCTTAGGTTCTTTATCATCTTTGTCGTCCTTTTTAGCTACCAATAATGTCTGAACACTCCTTACTGTTCTGCTATGTGTAGGTTAAGTGGAAGTTTTATTAAAAGTATTACTGCCTCCAGGCATAATGACCAATAGGTGTGAATACTTATCTATAGCTGAAATTCCTTTTCCTTATATATTATAGTAATATTTCACTGTCATTGAGGATAAGTCATTAATTTCACAATTTTAACATATATAAATCCATCTACAGATAAGTCATTCCAATATACATCAGAAAATCACAAAAATATGTAATTTCCCACTTGATTAACAAAGAATTTTGCAAAGATTGTAAGAGCTGACTTTTATAGTGTTAACAGCTCAGCGGCCATCTTTAATCTCTTTATCTGTGTATGTTACCTAAATTTATTAAAATGTTATAACGAAAGCAGTACAATTTATCTATGTCTATGTAAAGTTATAAAAGGTAATTTGGATGACGTCTTCAAGATAAGATTGATATTTATCGAAAAATCCTACTTGAATTTTTTTAATTTCGTTTTCATCTAAAAAAGACATTTTTAAACAAATCATTATTCAAGGTTTGGAGTGACAACCTTTATGAATTGTTATTAGATACGAAGCACAGCAAAACAACTATTTTCAAGAGTTGAAATTGTCGATAGCTTTGACTACATACATAACAAAGACGGCGGTACAGCAAGTTGTTTTCGATACAATAAGATTATTCTTACATTTGAAAAGGTTTATTAGACATGTTAGCAAATCTTTTCTTTATCTTTCTTCTATTTAGATTCTAAAATTTGTTCTTGTTTTGTTATTTTTACATCAACGCCATATAATTTGCTCGACGTAATTCAAAGTTAATGTCTATTTTTAAGTTCACAACAGTTGAACATGATGCAAATGACATTGCAAATGTGTAAATGATATTGTACCAACACGGGCTTGAACGTTTAAACCTCGAGGTTCGTTAATTCATTCAAATAAAACAAAAAATATGTTAAATGAGTTTGGGGTCTGCTTATTTAAAAGAGATAGTGAAAAAAAAAATTGTCTTTTGCTTTTACTGAAAATAAGGTTTAAATTAAAAATTACTTTTATTTTCCAACAAAAAAGAAACAAATGTTATACCGCGACGTCACTTCAATATACACACACCGAAGAAAAAAAATAACGAGTTCCGTTTTTACTTTCAGGATGTGATGGTCTTTGTTAAAGAAGCATTAACTTAATGATGGTACGACATACACAATGCGAAGTTCAAATAGTGTCTAAAAAGATTTTGTAATTATTTCAAAACTTCATTCGATAAAGTTCATGAGAGGAATTTCAAATTCGTCTAAAAACTAAATGAAAATAAGAAATATAATTGTATGTTAGGAAATAAAAAAAAAACAGTTTGTTTTAATGTAAAACAAAATAAAAATTGCTCAGTATTGTTAATTTTTGGATATTGTTAAAAACAAATGTTGAATGGTTAACATTATCTGGTAATTCTTAATATATTTTTCGACAATACGTGAACAAATATTTAAGAGGATACAATAAAATGTTTTTTTTTTTGTTTTTTTGGTATTTTACAAAACTGCTTTGGAAGAAGTCGAAAGAACACATGCGTGGTTAAACATAATAAAAGTTCATAATCTAATATCAGTCATATGTCTTTATTAAGCGATTATGAAATATAAAATTGTAAAAAATAAGCCCCAAATACCTGTTAATATCTTTTCTATTCTAAGTCTATTTGATTCAGTATTTGGCTGTTTATGATAATATTATAAATTGTTAGAAAATACAAAGATACGAATGTGTTGAGTACATTTTGTATCGAGTGCCTTCCATTTTTTTTTTTGTTATTCTTACGACAAATGTACGAGTTTTGAGTTGAGCACCTTTCTAGCGATATCACCTGATCTTTCCCGACAAGTTCCAATGATCCTAGGTTTTTTCAGTCACTGTGGTAAAGTTTTGGTCATCCCTTCGAAAGTTTTACAGACGCCATCATGATTTGAGTCATCGCTTATTAATATATATGTCACAGAGGACCACGAATATGTCCCAATTTTCCTCGATTGTGACATCATCGAATGACACTTATAACTGAATTTGTTTTAATACCAAGATGCTACACGACGTGTGCCAAATGTGGCACCAGAGATCACCACAAGCTTTTGTTGGGGTTTATGTTACTCAGAGTATAGTTTTCTATGTAGTGTTTTGTAGACCGTTTGGTTTGGTTTTTTTTTGTCGTGTTTTTTTATGTCATGGGTTTTTCTGTTTCTTATGACTTATGAGTTTTGATTGTCCCTCGATTGGTATCACATCTTCCTTTTTATTGATCGTTTGCGCTAGCTGTGTCCATTACAAGTTGTGATGTTCTTAGCAGCTATACATGATCATGCTTCCTCACAAGGGTTTACAAGCAGATTGTTGTACCTTAGGGTTTTTTTTGTTCTGAAAACCGGAATTATTTAGGTTTGAAATACCAAAAGGTGTCATGAATCTGGTTACGTATCTGAATAATCGATGTTTAGCGAAGGACCTTTTGCTACAAATGATTAAATAATTGACATATTTATGGAAATTGTATAGGAATCATGCTGATAACTCCATTCTCGTATGAATCATGAATTAAGTCGACAGTAGTAAACCGATGTTAATATCTCGTAAATCGAATAAGAAGAGACAAATCAAGGTAACAAACAAACTCTGATGGAACCGCCTGAATTCCAAATGAAGCAAAACCGAGTGCGTCTCCTGCTGTACATGCATCACCCACCATGCGAATCCATACTTAGTCCAAATCACACAATCACGAAAAAGACACAACTGGTGAATTTACAAATCAGACACTTGACTGGCATCTGAAGATTTAAGACCGTAAAAACACCTCGCTAGTGAGTTGAGACATCAACACATCGTGATTAATACTAAAATTAAAAAAAATAACAACAAATAATTTAAAGTAAAAATCTAAAAACCCGGTTCACATTAATCCTCTTCACAAATGTAAGCTGGTCATCCCGTCTACCTTCAAACATGGCCATCATCATTATTCAGAAGAACATGCTTGACATTAAATTCAATGTTAAAAAAAAACAACCCAGAAAAATCACACAAAGAAAAAATTGCTACGATAACCAAACATGAGTTAAATGTATAGTTGGAAACCCTATACACATTATATCAAAACCTCAGCGTAACTTTAGTTTTTATAAATAACAATCGCACATGGTCAGCCAAAGTAATACGTGAAGCCAAGCTTTGGGATTTTTAAAAACTTTAAAAAAAACAAATAAAATAATCTGAAAAAAAGATGCCTACGACCAGAATCTTCGTCATATTCATGGTTATTGTGTCATTAAAAGGATACATTTATGTAATATACTGTTTCGGTTCTTATACATCCATGGCTTTCAAATGTTCGGCTTTGGGCGTTCCTGATAAATGTAAATACAGAAAAGCTGCTCCAACAAAGTTATGAGGAGGACAGATTAAAAATGACACTTCGTATATTTGGTTTACAGTTTGATTCAGAAGAAACACCGACATAGCTAGATAATACAATTAATTATCTAATTACTACCACAATTTGATATTAATAAGTATTGTAATTTTCATTGTTATTAATAAATGTAATGTCAGTATTACAAATCTAATCTTGAATCAATCCTAATCCTATTTATTTTTGGGAAATATTTTTACAAATTCAAATGTGACGTCACTTTGTGTGTTTTTTTTTTAGAATTTCAAATGTGACGTCACTTTGTGCGTTGAGGCTTTGGCTAACTCGGCTGTGTATTTTTATGCGTTGGATTAAGTTGTTTTATGTAATGTATCCGTTTTTATTCTGTAGTTAGTCCCCACTTCCGTTTTATTATGTATATCTATTATATAGTCATTTTATAAAATTTACTGTTTGCGAAATTATAAATTATTGTAAATAATAAGGATGTTCATGTCCCAGGCAGAAAACTCTGGCCGTGTAAGGCGCAACCTTTTGGAAGTTTTGGTCCTCGGTGCTCTTCAGCTTTGTACTTGTTTTGGCTTTCAAACTTTTTTCATCTGAGCGTCACTGGTTGGTCTTGTGTGGACGAGACGCACGTCTGGCGTATTGAATTTTAAGCCTAGTACCTTTTGTTAGCTATTATTCGTGTGTTTCTTTGTCCTATATGTTCTCCCATTTATTTGTATTTTGGTCCTGTCATGTGATGTTGTCGTTTTGGTGTTGTGTTTGACGTTGCCATAAAAGCGGGAGGTTTGGCATGCCACAAAACCAGGTTCAACCCACTATTTTTTTCTTAAAATGTCCTGTATCAAGTCAGGAAAATGGCCATTATTATATTATAGTTCGTTTCTGTGTGTGTTACATTTTAATGTTGTGTTTTTGTTGTGTCGTTGTTCTCCTCTTATATTTGATGCGTTTCCCTCAGTTTTAGTTTGTAACCCGGATTTGTTTTTATCTCTATCGATTTATGAGTTTCGAACAGCGGTATACTACTGTTGCCTTTATTTGACGCATGAAATTTTCAAGTGTTGTTTTCAGTTTTTAGAGTTATGGTTGATGATACACTTTGCAATCAAAATAAGAAATATGAACTTTGACCAGGAAAAATAAATTTAGAAACAAGTTATTCCTATATCTGATCATTTTAAAAATACGATAAAAAAGATGTTAGATTTAGAGTCAATATCGTAAACGGAAACCCCTCAAATAAAATGAACATATATCTAAAATTATATATAGGTTTATTGACTATTTGACATTTAGCTTTGAACTGTATTCCAGTATCTGAGTTTTCTTTTTCTTTTTTTATTGTATTTGTTATTAGTACCGATGTTTTAAGTCAAACCCTTACAAGAGCATTGCTACAGTTTGTTCTTATGTTGTGATGGTATCCGCTGTCCAAGGCTAGGGGACGGTATAGAGCTCACAAACATGTTTTACCCTTCCACTTTTCTTGTGCTTGTTACAAGTCAGGATAATGAAATCCAGTGACTGTCGGTTGTTGCTGTCTGTCGTTACTTTTTTTTTTCTTTTTTTCAGTTTTAAACATAAATAAGGGCGTTGGTGTTCTCTTTGAATGGTTTCACATGTTTTCATCCCCGTGCATTTTGCCTATTGCTTTTTTCATTGTTAAAGGCCCCACGGTGACCTGTAAGTATACTAGTTTAACAGTCCTTATTTTATAAACATTAATATCATTGCCAAACATACAGCATTTTATAAAGATGCCATGCCCTCCTACTATCCTGAAACATTTCGAAACCAAGCCAACTTATCTTTAGTATAATCGCCGCGGAATAATTCCAGTATGGAACACTTTGGTACAATCCCTTCGACCAATTACTCTTTTGATAAAAGGTTGATACCTTATCTTCGATGTCTAAAAATGATATTTTCTGCCTCTTGATCCTGTTGATTTCAAAGACTTTTTAAAAGTGAATTGTAGATTGATTGTGTGCTTAACGCTCTGCCACTGTGTCAAAATTTCAGGCATGTTCAAAACAAGAACAAATTAATAATTAATCTGCAATCATGATCGTATAGAGTGAAGGGCGGGATATTTAGACTTTCACAGAAAAAGTTCGGTTTAATAAAGCTAGAATAAATGCTTGCAAAATGACAATTACGGACCCCTATACAGTTCTTTACATGAAATTTAAGGCGCAGATTTGGAGTGAGACTCATCTTGCTCGCAGCATTTCGCGTGACGTCCCTATTCTAGCCAACCATGTTAGCGTATTTCTATAATCTGCATGGTCAATTAGTCGGCCTTCTATAGATGTTACTGGCGGATTGTAGACGTCAACCTTTGGTAAATTCTTTATAAGATTAAAGGATTGAAATTCGATATTGATAAATCACCGATGCTGTATTTCAGTATTTTAATAGAGAAAAGGATCAGTATAAAACAAAATGTATCTTTTCTCTAGCGCGTCTCTCTATATGTAACACATATATTTTGTTTAGTCGATACTAATACGCTAAATCCTTTTTACAGAATAAACAGGTGGAAACGGTGGATACGATTGACTTTGAAACACTGACACATATGAAGCCTACATTACAAAGCTTTTTGAAGGAATCTATAGCTAGGGAATGTCTTACTTTAATTTCGAATGCATTTAACGACCAGTGTGAAGAAACAAACTGGACAAATACAAGAATTTGTTTAGTCGACGGAGAAAGGTCATTCCATGTCGTTAGCGGGACCGGAGCTCATAACTGGGTTTTATATACAGAAGACGGTATTATAGATATTGTAAAGTCAGTTAGAAAATAATACCTCGACGAATTTGTGTCTGTAGAAGTCATCAACAAACGCGTTCTCGGTAGGTTAATTATTCAGTATATAGGGAATGAAGAACCTGAGGTAGATGACAGGAAATATAGCTTACGAAAATTATTTCAAGCTACTATTGATTACATCCAAACCCATGATGTACCAGACGTATGGCAAATGCCACAGTAACCGTGTATGACTCAGAAGATAACACGTTTAAAATCAAAAGTGGCAACGGGAAAAATAGGTTCATGGTAACTGACAAAAGAAATGAACCAATAATCG